ACACCCCAAACAATCTTATTCAACTATACACCCACTTCCCAGGTGGCACCCTCCCATAGCCTCCCTTCCCCAAGTAGTTCCCTTATACTCTTATCCCTGCTACTGCTTGCTGTGTTGTCGGCACCCCCAGCCATTCCCCACTACTTGTCCATGTGGTGAATCTAGTCAGCCCATCTAGAGGTCTTTATAAGATTGGGGTCTGATGTTCATTTTCCCAGTTCTATGCTGGGTTACTATCTGGGAATCCCTTTGGTCACCCTGTCCAACAACTCAAAAGAAGGTATCTCCTATCTGGCATTGTTGCTTGTTATGTAGCCTTTAGCTATACATATGGACTCTTAAAAAATTATATTGGCCCCTTTAATCTTTGGTTATACTTTCCTTATGGGTATTTAAGGCCACACAGTTGGCCTAGATAAACCAATTTATTTTTACTCTTAAGGCCATTTGAGGATCTGTTCCTCAGTGGTCACTGGCTCCTTTCTTTTACCAGTTCCGCCTAAAGATAAGTCAAAGGTCCTGCTCAACCATGGCTGGCTTCACTTGGAAGCATGGAAGAAATGTTTCCTCTGTGTTGACCCTCCTCTTCGTAGACTGGACACTGGTTCAAGTCCATCTCGTGGGGTCTCCATGGCCTTCTTGATCAAGAGGGCAGGTGACCCACAACAATTACAGGACATTTTGGGAGATGCTCATAGTCCTCTGGAACTAGTTGACCTAGGAGGGCAAGGAGCAAAATTGTCCTTTATGTCCCTCTGACCAAATTAGTATAGGCCTCAAAGTATGTCTGTTAAACATCCAAGAAGGTTAGTTCCACAGTCTGGTACTTTTAATTACTGTGTGCCATGTAGATAAATCTTGGGCAAAGACCAATTGTTCTCAGATAAACCTTACCTAGACATATGTCTTGATCTGGTAAGTATAATTTATCAGTAGGTTGTTCGACTAATATGGTTCCCTCTGGTTTTTAAAACCAGCTAGGCATTATTTATCTCTCACATTGTCTAACCCCTCCATCATGGTTTCCCCAATTAAGGTGCCCCCATTTTCCCCCTTTCTCCCTTAATAATACCCTTCTCCTATGGTCCTCTCTTGAGCTCCTTCTTTCCCTTTATCCCCTAGGTTCCTTGTATACCCTTCCCTCCCTCCTCCTTTAAACTAACCCAATTTTTATCCATATCTCCCTTATTAACACCTGTTTCCTACTGTTCTCTTTCAGGTTCTTTCTTTTCCTTTACCTCCCCGGTTCCTTTCCATTATCCTGGTTCCTGTAGTTATGTCTGGATAATAGATGAGAGTTTTTTAAAGGAGGGAACAGTTAGTGAAATACAATTTGAGATGTTTTTAAACTAACCTAAATTTCACTATACCAATGTACCTGAGGTCTCTTACTGTCTTTATATGTGTCATCTTGTAGATTCTCTTTAAAAGAATTGACTATCATTGACTTTCATTTTCACATTACTCATAGCCTATAATTTGTGAAAAGGCTTACATTTAGGTATCATTTGTCTGTCACCAAAATTAATAACCAATTATAAAATGTTAATGTTTACTTAAGCCAAGCATGGTGGTGCATGCCTTTAATCCTAGCACTCAGGAGGCAGAGGCAAATAGATCTGTGGGTTCAAGGTCAGCTTGGTCTACATAGAGTTCCAGGCCAGCCAAGGTTACACAGTGAGATCCTACCTCAAAAATTTTTTTCACTTATTTTTTTAGTGTTTGTGTACACATATGTGTGTGCATTCATTTACTACCACATGCATGTGGAAGTCAAAGGAAACTGTGCAAGAGCTGGTTCAACTCTCCTTTGACCATGTGATTTCCAGGGATCTAACTCAAGTTGTTCAGACTTAGTGGTAAGCACCTTTACCTGCTGAGCCATCTTGCCCACCTCCATATTTTTTTATATTTTTTAATATTTTTAATTAAATTTAGAACCCCTCCCCCATCCATGCCTTCATATACCCCCTGCTACTACACTTCATGCAGTCTGTCATACATGTTAAGTCCTATCCAGTCAAGTACTTGTACCCAGATGTCCTTCAGTGTAAGTTTATCCACGGGAGTCTAGTCAACCTATTTAGAGATCTTAAGGAAGATCTACTCTCCCTCGCCCAGCAGGAATCAGTTGCCAAGAGTTCCCAGGCTAGGGTTGGCCCACCACCCATCTCCCTCACTCCTTTCTGGGCCCTTGCCTGACTGAGTTGTCATGGGTCTTGTACACAATGCCATCACTGCCACAAGTTCACATGAACAAGTTTCCAGTGGCCTGACAGCCTCTGTTTCCCTGTGTTCATGAACCAGCCCTGGCTCTTACAATCTTTCCACTCCCTTTTCCACAATGGTCACTGAGCAGTGGGTGGGTGAAGTTTTATATAGGAGTCCTATCCATGGACACACACACTGTGCAGTCTCTTATTCTCTAAAACTTAGCCAGTTGTGGCCTCCTGTGTGCATTGCACCCTCTTGTATAAAGAAGCTTCAATGGTGAGAGTTGAGGAAAAAATATTCCAAGTAAATGGCTCTAAGAAGCAAGCAGGTGTTGCAATTCTAATATCTGACAAAATAGACTTCAAATTAAAACTAATCAGAATAGATAAAGAGGGTTACTTCATTCTAATCACAGGAACAACTGACCAAGAAGATATTACAATTATGAACATATACGCACCAAACTCTGGAGCACTCAATTTCATAAAAACAGTGCTAAAGTGCTATAAAACACAGATTAACCCCAACACAGTAATAGTTGGTGACTTCAATACCCCACTATCTTGAATAGACAGGTAAAGTAGACAAAGAATAAACAGAGATACATCTGAATTAAGTGCCATCTCACATCAAATGGACCTAATGGACATCTACAGACTATTCTACCCAAACACCAAAGAATACACTTTCTACTCAGCAGCCCATGCAAGATTCTTTAAAATATACCACATACTGGGACACAAAACAAAACTCAACAAATACAAAGCTATAATTCCATACACTCTATCAGACCACAGGGCAATAAATCTTATAATCAAGAGCAAAAGAAGCTCTAAAACTACAGAAATCCACAAGTCAGGCAAGGCAGAAAAAAAAAAACCAGTATTTTTCTCTTCTTTCTAAAATCATCCAAAAACAAAATGCAAGAAAAACAGAAAGAAAAATTCCAATTCCACTTTTGATGAAAAATCTATAACCCAAACACAAAACCAATGAAAAAATCTTCCAAAGAGAAGATCAAATTGAGGTGTGGGAGGGAACAGAGACCACCACCCACCTAAAGCTGCAAGCTCACAGAGAATAATCAGGGTGCATTTCTCCCATATGAGAGGGCTCTACTGACAGACCTAAGGGAAGATTCCTTTTCTGAGGCACACTGACAGAGGAAGATTATCTGAACCAGATTTGGTTACTGTGATGGCTAATCCTGGGTGTCAACTTGATTGGATCTGGGATTAATTGAAATGAAAGAGATCTTCTTGACTGGATCATCTAAAGCCAGAAGACACACCCTAAATGTGGATGTTACCTTCTGATGGCAGCCAGTATAAAAGGCCAAGGCAGAGGAGAATGCCGGGCTTCTTGATGCTTGCCTTCTCTTTCACTGGTGAGTTCGTCTTGCTGCTGTAGACTGAAGACTAGCTGATCTTTTGGAATTCATCAGACCTTCAGCGCCAGATTGGGACTACTGAGACATCCAGCCTGGTGGAATGAGTGACTATGGATTCTCAGCCTCTCCAGTGTGGTGCAGCCATTGTTGGACTACTCAGACTCTATCCTGTGAGCTAAGCTGATAAATCTCTATACATATATATTCATTCTACCAGTTCTGTTTCTTTGGAGAACCCTAATACAGTTACATAAAGCAGAATAGTCTAAAACAAAGAATGAATCACACAGAAGAGCCATGTTCATAGAATTAAGTCTATGTATGTGTTAGAGGTTAAAAAGCAGTCAGTTTTATGACTGGACCTACTGTTGTGTATAGACTAGGAAAGTGTAAGAGCGAATATAAACATAAAACTTTGAATCATGCCCCTGTATACATCCCAAGAATAAGAAGACCTGCATAAAATATTCACTAAAAATTATTTATATAAGCTAAAAATTTCTAAATATCCATCAATGGAAAATGAGTAAGTTCTATAAGAATAGACTTACCACAAGACTGAAACAAACGAACTAGAGAACTTGTATAAAAGCACATGACTTAAACTCAAACACATTTTATTTATTGACCAAATAAAATAAGTGGAAGAATGTGGTATCTATACAAGATCAGTCAAAAGAATTATATAATCATATACAACAATCACATAAAACATGGGTGGATTAAAAAATGTCAAATCTGTATAATATGTAGCTCCCAGCCACCATATTGTGAAGAAGCACAAATTAACACAAACAAGTAGACAGAACTTTCTGAAAGGTCCACTTGGAAAGAAATTAATGTCTATATCCAGCATCAACCAACAGATACCTGAATGAATGAGGCTTCTGAGGATCCTAGTCTCAGCACAGACCATCCACCTCTCTCTTTACTCGAGATTGAGCCCAGGACCTCATGTAGGCCTCATGCATCCTGGGGTGGCACTATGTAGACCAGGGTGGCCTTGATCTCACAGAGATTCACCTGCTTTTGAAGCATTTGAATGGTAATTCTGATGACTTGCCAAGGCTGAGTATAACTATCCTAAAAATGGGGAAACTACCTTGCCCAGGTTGTGGTCTTAAGGAATTCCTACACTTTTATATATTCTTCCTTCAGCTACCCCATTAAGATATCACTGTGAAAAGCCAAGAAAAATCACCCCGTGTCTTTAGCAGAGGTAATGTAACCATTTTTGAAATATGCTCAGTGTTTTTACAATAATGGTCTACTCCCCAGTGAAAAAATTTTCATAGCTAGCTATAGCCTTTGAATCTTCTGACTGGCTGAAACCTTGACTGAAACCTCAGACACTATGAACCACACAAGCAGTCACTGCAGTTCAAATTCTTTGTTCAGTCATAAACACTAAAAAAAAAAAAAAAAGGTTATTTTTGCCTGGAGAAATGATTCAGTGGTTAAGAGCATAGGCTGTTAATGCAGAGGACCTAGGTTCAAATCCCAGCACCCACATGGTGGCTACAAACTGTCCAAAACTCCAGTTTTAGGGGATCCAACACCTCTTCTGTCCTCTTCAGGCACTACACAACAAGGATGCATTTACATACATGCAGGTAATACACTCATGCATATAAAATAAAAATACATTTAAAATTTTTTTAAATGGTTATTTTATGGCAGTAAGTTTGAGATAATTTGTTATAAAGTCTGACTAAGCTGGGCATGGTGGCACACACGTTTAGTCCCAGCACTCAGGAGGCAGAGGCAGGCAGATCTCTGTAAGTTTGAGGCCAGCCTTGTCTACACAGTGAGTTCCGGGCCAGCTGGGTCTATAGGGAGACCATCTCAGAAAGACCAAAAAATAAAAAATAAAGACTGACTAGAACAGAACACTCAAATATTAAACTGAATTGAAAATTATTTGCAGTGCCATGTATAAGGTTTCATCTCTGTACACTAAATTTATAAAACTACTGTTATAAATTTATTTTGGTTTAATAATAGGTATAGCCTCTTACCTCTAAACTTCCATAATGTGCTGCCCAATGTAAAGGGGTAAATTTATGGAGAACATCCATTTCATTAACGCTGGCTCCACGTTCCACTAAGTCTGAAAGTTGTTTGACATCTCCAGCCCGTACTGCATCATATATGCTACCAATATGTGCCTTCCTCCTGGAACCTATTGAAAAATCAAATTTCTTAAAATATATTACAGAATTGTGAGAAAAAGACTACAGCAATGACCCAATAGAAATCACATTACTTCAGCTTTCTGAATAATTTACTATGAAGATGCTTGTGATTAACATCTTAATCAAAGTTTAGGTTTCTAGTTCTGATGCAGCACACAACAGTAACATTCCACCATCCTTCCAACAAAGATACTGAATATATCAAAAATTAACAAAAGCCCCAGGGAAAACTGGTATCTTAAATCTGGAGAGACACGCATAGACAGATAAATATAGTTGAGTTCAGCTTATGTGGGGCAGAAGCTGCTGGAGTCATAAATGGTAGAAGCTTTTGAATGGTGATTCTGATGACGTCAAGGCTGAGTAGAACTAGCCTGAAAATGGAGAAACTACCTTGCCTAGGTTGTAGTCTTAAGGAATTCCTACAAGTTTATGTATTTTCTCTTCAGCTACCCCAGTAAGATATCACTGTGAAAAGCCAATAAAAAAAATCACCTATTTCTTTAGCAGAGGTAATGTGACCATTTCTGAAGTATGCTCAGTGTTTCTCACAATGCTCTATTCCCCAGTGGAAAAATTCTCATAGGGCTGAAGAGATGGCTCAGCAGTTAAAAGTGTGTAGTCTTACAAAAGGACTAGAGTTTGGTTCCTAACACCCATATAGAGCAGCTTACAACCACTTATAACACCAGCTCTAGGGGAATCCAACACCCTCTTCTGGCCTCCTCAGGTACCTACATCATATGCATATACTCCCACAGACACACAAACACATGGACACACAGATACACACACACACAACTTAAAAATAAAAATATAAATCTTCTTCGACCCACCACAGGCCTCTCTCCTACACACAGGCCTCTCTCCAGGGTAAGTCCATCACACCCTCCTCGCCTTGACACCCCCAGCCACATTCACCTTCCCATCTCCCCTGCCCTTCTCTCCTCAGAGTTTGGGCCCAGTCCCATTCCTTGTCTTGGGGCGCCAGACACCTGGGGAACCAATACTTCTTCCTGACCCCTTTCATCCAAACCAACATAGTGCCTTCTCTGGGCCCCAGGAGCACAGCTTCTAGACCTGTCCCCGCCCTCAACTCCCCCTGCTTCCCTGGGCATGCACCACCTGCCATCCTCTTTCTTGGACTTGGGAGCTGACCTTTCCTCTTCCTGATCCTTTGCATCCAGACCAACCCAGTTCCTCAGTGCAGTCCCCAGGAGTCCTTGGGGCCTCTTCCTGCCCCATCTGCCATTGCATCTCTGGGTGGCACGGCCACCAGCTGCCCTAGACCAGCATTGTTTCAGGGCCAGGCTCCCAGGCCAGTCCAACCCCCAAATTCCTGAGGCCAAAATCAGTCCTGGAGGGATCCAGGCCTTAGGAGAAAGCCTGAAGTCATCTGACCCTCATCTGAATTGGGCCTCTGTGGGAACTCCTAAAGACAAAATCAATCTGGCCACTCTAATATAAAATCAAGAGAGAGAATCGGAAGCTTACATGAACCAGCTTTTCTTGCCCAAAAAGTAAACCACAAAGACACATAAAGTTCACAAAAAGAAGTAGACCTAAACTTGAAGGCCTGAGTCTCACACAAGAATCAGAAACTACAAAAGAAATTCACAGGCCAAAATCACAGAGAAAAAATAATAACATGAAAAACCAAAA